ACCCCACTCCTTCAGCTAACACCCGAGCATTCACTTCTCTTACAACTCCATCTATAAATTTATTGAACAACCATGGTGACATCACACATCCTTGTCTAAGGCCTACTTTTACTTTGAAATAATCTCCCTCTCTCCTACATACTCTAACCTGAGCCTCACTATCCTCGTAAAAACTCTTCACTGCTTTCAATAAGCTACCTCCTATTCCATACATTTGCAACATCTGCCACATTGGCTCCCCCCCCCCCCCCAATCGGCCCTGTCATATGCCTTTTCCAAATCCATAAATATCACAAACACCACTTCACCTTTATCTAAATACTGTTCACCTATATGTTTCACTGTAAACGAAGTCTACACACCCCCTACCCTTCCTAAAGCCTCATTGTTCATCTGCTATCCTGCTCTCCATCTTACTCTTAATTCTTTCAATAACAACTATACCATATGATTATCAAATGGTATACAATACCGACAGGTTGGTAGATAAGACACATAGGCAACATTTAGGCAACTTTATTTCGAAACGAAAGTAGGCGGGAGCAGTAGAGATGTGAAGACGATGTAATCAGTCCATCACCTTTGAACTCGTAGATTTGAGGTTGTCAGTCCCTCAGCCTGGAGAAGTTCTGTTCCAAAGTCTGGAACTAACTGAAGATCAAGCGACAGTGTTGAGACTTAAATACTGTCGGAAGGAGAGGTGCAGAGTAGTAGTAGTGAGAATGTAGCCACTGAGAGGTCATGTCCCTCTCAGATCAAACAGTTCTCACTTGAAAAAGTTGTCCAAGTTGTTTTCTCTTCTGTACCAAGATGCCATTGTGTTGCAGTGTCTGACAGAGTGTTTATCAAATGGTATACAATACTGACAGGTTGGTAGATAAGACACATAGGCAACATTTAGGCAACTTTATTTCAAAACGTTTCGCCTACACAGTAGGCTTTTTTAGTCGAGCACAGAAAGTAGGCGGGAGCAGTAGAGATGTGAAGACGATGTAATCAGTCCATCACCCTTGAAGTCGTAGATTTGAGGTTGTCAGTCCCTACTAGTACTCTGCACCTCTCCTTCCATCAGTATTTAAGTCTCAACGGTGTCGCTTGATCTTCAGTTAGTTCCAGACTTTGGAACAGAACTTCTCCAGGCTGAGGGACTGACAACCTCAAATCTACGACTTCAAGGGTGATGGACTGATTACATCGTCTTCACATCTCTACTGCTCCCGCCTACTTTCTGTACTCAACTGAAGAAGCCTACTGTGTAGGCGAAACGTTTCGAAATAAAGTTGCCTAAATGTTGCCTATGTGTCTTATCTACCAACTCTACCATATACTTTACCAGGTATATTCAACAGAATGACTTCAAGAGTGTATCAGTCTGTAGTGGAAGGAAGGCGGGGTAGGGGTCGGCCTAGGAAAGGTTGGAGGAAGGGGGTAAAGGAGATTTTGTGTGTGAGGGGCTTGGACTTCCAGCAGGCATGCATGAGCGTGTTTGATAGGAGTGAATGGAGACAAATGGTTTTTAATACTTGACGTGCTGTTGGAGTGTGAGCAAAGTAACATTTATGAAGGGGTTCAGGGAAACCGGCAGGCCGGACTTGAGTCCTGAAGATGGGAAGTACAGTGCCTGCACTCTGAAGGAGGGGTGTAAATGTTGCAGTTTAAAAACTGTAGTGTAAAGCACCCTTCTGGCAAGACAGTGATGGAGTGAATGATGGTGAAAGTTTTTCTTTTTCGGGCCACCCTGCCTTGGTGGGAATCGGCCAGTGTGATAATAAAAATAATAAAAAAATTTTCCCTATAATTTTTGGTCTCTCTTTTATCCCCTTTGCCTTTATATAAAGGAACTATGCATGCTCTCTACCAATCCCTAGGTACCTTACCCTCTTCCATACATTTATTAAATAACAGCACCAACCACTCCAAAACTATATCCCCACCTGCTTTTAACATTTTTATCTTTATCCCATCACTCCCAGCTGCCTTACCCTCTTTCATTCTACCCACTGCCTCATGAAATTCCCCCACACTCACAACTGGCTCTTCTTCACTCCTGTAAGATGTTGTTCCTCCTTGCCCTATACATGAAATCACAGCTTTCCTATCTTTATCAACATTTAATAATTCCTCAAAATATTCCCTCCATCTTCCCGATACCTCTAACTCTCCATTTTATAACTCTCCTCTCCTATTTTTAACTGACAAATCCATTTGTTCCCTAGGCTTACTCAACTTATTAATCTCATTACAAAACTTTTTCTTATTTTTAACAAAATTTTTTGGTAACATCTCACTCACTCTCTCATTTGCTTCCTTTCTGCATTGCTTCTATATACTCCTCCCTCCTTGCATCACTTCTACTTTGTAAAAACCTCTCATATGCTAACTTTTTCTCTCTTACTACTCTCTTTACATCATCATTCCACCAATCACTCTTCTTCCCTCCCACACCCACTTTCCTGTAACCACAAACTTCTGCTGAACACTAACACTACATTCTTAAACCTACCCCAAACATCTTCAACCCCACTGCTTATACTCTCACTAGCCCATCTATCCTCCAATACAAGTAGTTGCTTACATCTTACATTAACTGCCTCCTCCTTTAGTTCATCAACCTTCACCTCTTTCTTACTTACTGCTTCCATTTTCCTTGTATCTCATCTACCTTTTACTCTCACTGTAGCTACAACTAAAATGTGACCTAAAATATCTGTGGCCCCTCTATAAACATGTATGTCTTGAAGTCTACCCAACAGTCTTTTGTCTACCACTACACAGTTCAACAAACTGTCATTATGCCCTACATCATATCTTGTATACTAATTTATCCTCTTTTTCTTAAAATATGTATTACCTATAACCAAACCCTTTTCTATACAAAGTTCAAACAAAGGGCTCCCATTATCATTTACACCTCACACCCCAAACTTACCTACCACACCCCTCTCTAAATGTTTCTCCCACTTCAGCATTTAGGCCCTCTACCACAATTACTCTCTAACTTGGTTCAAAAGTTCCTACACACTCACTTAACATCTCCCAAAATCTCTCTCTCTCTCTTCTACACTCCTCTCTTCTCCAGGTGCATACATACTTATTATGACTCTTTTTGCATCTGACCCTTATTTTAAACCACATAATCCTTGAATTTTACATTTATGTTTTCTCTTCTTCCATAACTGATCCTTCAACATTATTGCTACCCCTTCCTTAGCTCTAACTCTCTCAGATACTCCTGACTTATACCATTTACAGTGGTACCTCGGGATACGAATTTATTTCGTTCCAGAAGGCTGTTCAAGTGCCGATACCAAACGAATTTGTTCCCATAAGGAATAATGTAAATTAGATTAATCCATTTCAGACCCAAAAAAATACACTTACAAAAGCACTTACATAAATACACTTACATAACTGTTCGAGTTTTGAGCTGTTCGTATCCCAAGGTACCACTGTATTTCTCCCCACTGAAGCTCACCTACCCCCTTCAGCTTTGTTTGCCTAGCTTTATTACTCACTTAGTATATGATAATGTAAACATGTTATCAGGCTTTTATATGCATCTGAAAATTAAAAAAAAAAAAATTATGGTTTCACTTTACAGCAATTCTTGCTTTACAGTAGTAGCCTGGAACCTAACCTAACCTGTATAAGTGGGTCCCTCCTGTACTTCATTTTTCCCTCAATATTATTATTGTCATCGCTGTATAGAATTCCTTCACTACTACAAGCCCTCAACAGACTGCTGCTGGAAGCACCAGAGTTACCAGATCAGTCATATATTCAATAACTGTAATATCATTCAAGTCTTTTAAAGTCTGTTTTGAAAGAGATGACTGTGATGCTGCTATCAACTTAAGAAATTCAGTGTTTTATTTTGGTTTATTATTCCAGTTACAAGAGTGGTGTTGCCTGGTGGGAGGCTGCTGAACAGTCTTGGGCCCCAGACACTTACTGTACTGTGTTTTCTCTTAGTGTACCAATGGCACCCCTACTTTCATTGGAGGCATTTTGCACCACCTGCCCAGTCTTTTGCTTTTGTAGGGAGTGATTTCTGTATGCAGATTAGGGACCAGTCCCTCTAGGATACTTCAAGTGTAGATTATGATGTATCTCTCTCTCTCTCTCTCTCTCTCTCTCTCTCTCTCTCTCTCTCTCTCTCTCTCGCCTGCACCCCAGCGAGTACAAGTCAAGTGCTTTCAAGCGTTCCCAGTAGTTAAGGTGTTTTACGAAACTTATATATGCAGTAGAGGTTCTCTGTAAATTCTCTGTATCTGTAATTTCACCTGCTTTGACACGAGATGTTAATGTACAAGGATACTAGATGATCATGTTTAAAAATATCCCATGTTTTTGAACATCCTTCCTTCAAATACAGACAGGCCCCACTTACAGTGTTGCACTAATGCAGCAGTTTTCAATTACGTATACCCATTTATCATTTATTTAGACTTCCTACAATAAACATATTCACCACTCACTATTAGCTAAGAATGAAAGTATTAATGTGTATACTGTATATGCATTTTTTAGGCCTAGTTCTACTGGTCACTTAATAAATGATAGTGTAAACATTTTAACAGGCTTTAATCAGGGCCCACCTGCATAAGGGAACTTAAGAAATTTCTGCCTATGCCAGACTACACATTACAAGTTCCCACAGCCTGACTGACCAAGCTATCAACAAGGAGGTACAATCCATAACTAGGACATGGGGACAATCACTAGAACCATAAACTTGTAAACAAATGGTAGGAACCATATTTAAATATTTTTATTGGGCAAAAATAACAAGGAGCATGAGTGCTATTAGCTTTTTAATACACTATATGGTACCCTAAAATACACTGTCTTTATAGTACCCTAAATTCATTAAAAACCTGAAATAAAAAACATTTATTAATGTAATTTTTACAAAACCACCAACTTGAAGAATAAAGAATCACCTAAAAGAAACTAGTACAGTAATTACTGATAATCTAAAATGATATGAAGTTCCTTACATTCATTCCATACAGTGTGTTGAGGTCGTGGATGACAACATGTCGATCTTCCATTTTACGTCGGCCATTCTTGATCGCGAAATAACTTATGGGGTTGTAACGTGGTAGCTTTTCTACTTCTGCGACAGTGAGATTTGAGTGCATCTCTTTGATTACACAGTTGGCCTTGCTTGTTACTTCCTGGATTAGCTTCATTGTGTCATATGCTGTACGGAAAAAGTAAGCATCAGTTACTGTGTTTTCAATGTGATACTCTATGCTGCATGTAGTAAATGAACAATATTATCGGATCACGAAGATTTTCCCCAAAGAAAATAGTGTTACATGATTTTGATTGTTTATGCATATTTTTATTTAGCACCAAAACTAACATGACAATGTAAGCTAACTTTGCTAAAATTTATGCAGTAAGGTATAAGATAGCTTAATTTATAAACTACAGTAGACCATTGGTTAACAATGTTAAAATATTTTTTAATGTTAACACGGTTGCAAAATATCAGCATATTTTTGGCGAATGTGCTGTATTAATCAGTTTATATGGCTGAGTACATAGAGAAAAATGTGGTAGGTACAGGGCTCTTCCTCTCTGTCTCACAGTGAGCCTATGGTCAAGTCCACTGCTGTATGGAGGGAAGCCTACATAATGTGCACAACCTCCTTTGCCCCAGTGCTCTGCTCATACACGTCCATTATCATACCTGGCCTGTGTTAGTAAATCAACTTTTTAAATTATCCTGTATCTGGATAGTAACTATGGCACCCAAGAAGAATCTTAGTGATCCTGGAAATGCAAAGAAGTATAAGCATAAAAGTCTTGGCATTTTGAAGAAAATCAAGATATTAGATAAGCTTAAGGGTAGTACACATGTTGTGGAGACAGTGTGAGCCTTTAGAATGAATGATGCATCAATGAGCACAATTAAAAAGAATAAGGCAAAGATACGAGCTTGTGCAATGAGTAGCTCAGGTTGCGATTTCCTGAAAAGAATGACAAATAGGTCACAACAGCTAAATTAGATGAAAAAGTTGAGTGAGTGAATTGAGGAAACCCAAGAAGGGTGCACCACTTAATTTCATGTTAATAAGAAACAAGCCTTAGAGAACTATAAAACAGTGTGTGATGAGGAAGGAAGACCTGAACAAGAGTGCTTGTTTAGTACAGGCTGGTTCCATAAGTTCAAATTGCACATTTGGTTGCATAATATTAAATTTTCTGGTGAAAGTGCTTCTGATGACCATGCTAATGTAGGAAATTTTCCCTGCTAAATTACAGGAAATTATTTCTGAGGGTGGTTATGAGCCACAGCAAGTATGTAATGCTTATGAAAAAAAGTCTTCATTAGAAAAAAGATGTTAGCAAGAACTTACATCAGTCTGCAAGAGAAAAGTTACCAGAAATTTAAGGCAGCAAATGATCGCTTCAGTCTGTTACTTTGTGGTACTGCCTCAGGCAATTTTAAGTTTAAACCCAGGGTTGTTTACCATTCCGAGATGCCCTGTGCTTTGAAAGGTAGATTAAACTGGATGTATGGAGGTTAAACCCATCAGCATAGACAACAGAGGAATTATTTATTGACTGGTTTAAGCATCACTATTCCTGAAGTCATATTTTACCTATACAACAAGAGCCTTGCATTTTAAGTTCTCTTCACTCCTGATAATTCCCATACTCGTCCAAAAGTTTTGGTGGGTGTGCATCCACAGGTAAAAGTTGTATTTATACCACCAAATACAATATTTTTAGTATATTTCCCATCAAACACAACATGTTTTTAATACAACCACTGGATCGTGAAATTATTACAACATTTAAGTGTAATTACACACAAAAAACAATGTGGAAACTTGTTGCAGCAATGGATGCTGATCCAAAGCTTTAAGTGCCAGACTTATGGCATAACTGACATTATAGATGACATCAGCTACATCAAAAGTGCATGGAACTAAGTGCCCCAATCAACATTACATGCAGGCTGGGGAAAGTTATAGCCTTGTGTGGCAAATACCTTTACAAGTTTTTCATCAGGAGAGTCAGGTACAGGAAACTGTTCAGATGGCTAGAGATTGCCAGGTGATGGCTTTCAAGATATACAGGAAGATGTGAATTAACTGTTAGAAAATGATGAGGAAAACATTAGTACAGATGAAATGATGGTAGTTTAATTTTAACAACTACAGAATTAACTGGGAAAAAATAAACCAAGAGCTATCAGACATATCCTGGGAATCAGACCTTATATCCCCACCAGTGCCTAGTGAAGCTGAATATATAGGAATACAATCACGTACCATTGAGGAAACTCAGAAAGATCAGACAGACAGAGAGAGAGTAGGAGATGGTACAGAAGAAAACGGATTACTGAAGTGCTTAAAAATACAAACATGCTGCAACAGAGGAAAGATAGTCTTAGCCAGTGGCAGCTTGTAACGCCAGTAATACCTATACTATCATACCGCTTCAAACTTCTATTTTTAATAATTTTTTATCTAGTTTCAACAAAAAAAAAAAAAAAAATTGCTTATAAATACATTGAAAACAAAATACAACAGATTTTTCCTGTAATATATTTGTCAGTTGTAAATTATTTTACCATAGGGTTGATGAAGTCGTATGTCTGGCAGTGAGCATCCAGGGGAACTGCAGCTCCTATGGACTCTTAGCCGAGAGATCACTGAATTAGAGCAAAAACTTAGCACATCATACCTAACAGAAGTACAAAGGGAACAAAGGGCCATACAGGATATTGCAAGAAACCCAAAATATTTCTATCCCTATGCAAAATGCAAGCAAAGAACTATTTGTAAAATTGGACCATTATTGAGAGGAGATTCATATACTGATGATCAATAGGAAATGTGTGAAATCCTAAAAGAACAGTATGAGTCAGAGTTCAGCAACCTACTAAATGACAGCAAGGTAGAAAATGCAGAAACATTTTTCACTCCAGCATAAGGCCGTGCAGACCAACTAACTGACATTAGTACAAATCCTATAGATTTCAAAAAAGAAATGGATAACATGCCCACTCAGCACCTGAACCATATTCATGGAATGCTCTATTTATAAAGAAGTGCAAAGTACCACTAGTGTGAACCCTCAGTATTCTTTGGAGAAAGCTCAGATCTAGGCGAAATGCCGAAGACCTGAAGGAGTGCAGACACAGCTCCTTTGCATAAGGGAGGTAGTAAAATACTAGCTAAAAATTACTGACCAGTACAAATTTCGTCGACCAGCATAACCCGAACCAGGATGGCTTTTAGAGCAGCACGATCATGCCTTTCACAGCTGCTGAACCATTATGACAGAATTACGGAGGGGTTGGAAGACAACCAAAACACAGATGTGATTTACGCAGATTTTGCAAAGGCGTTCGACATATGTGATCATGGAGTGATAGCACACACAATGAGGGCCACAGGCACTACGGGGAAGGTGGGCAGATGGATTTTCGGGTTCCTAACACACACAACACAGAATGTAGCAAGAAGTAAAAAGAGGAAAATCCAACATCATAACCTGCTCTTTCTCTATCCCACCTGTTTGTTCACAGTTGTTTTTACCTCCCACTAGCTATTCCCTTAAGTTCATTCACATTCACTTCTCCCTTAACCATTGAAACTATTGTCCTCTTTCTCATAAAGTAGCTGACATTATCATCATAAATGGTTATAACTATGGCCATAATTTTTATAGGGGTGAACCAGTAAGCCAGTGGATTACCAAAAACTCCAACAGTGGGTCATCATCTGACTAAGACCCATGTCAAGAAACACTTATCCTGTTTCCTGACAATCCTTACCTAGCCCTAGCTGACATTAAATATCCGATAAATCACATACAGTACTATATCTAAATGTCATCTATTTAACTTCATTCAGTCTGCTTTAATTGCCCAAATTATCGTAACTCGTATACAGTAATATACTCCAGGCACTCCATACTCTGCACTATACAACAGTCTCTTCCACTTCAGCATTATGCTCCCCAAACAACTATTCACTTGTTTTCAAACTCTCCAAACATTTGCTTAACTTACGAAACATCTCTCGTACATTCCTCGTACCACCACGTATATAACACATTACAGCTCACTTCTCACATCCCACTTATAGTGTAATCCACCTTTAATTTAAATATTTGTGCCCCTCTCTGTTCAGTTATTAATACAATTACTACTGCTCTCCTCTCGGATACACCTTATTCAATTTACTCTTTCCCATTCAAAGTCTCCCCATTTTGAAATTTTACTTTGTGCTTGGATATTCAGCTTACTGAAATTGTCTCATTATATTGTGAAAATAACAAATGGTGCAATGAGCATTGGGAATTTGACATCCCTTCAATTGCAAGTCCACAGCTTGGCCACAGAGTGGACATAAGATTTCTGTGATACTACAACTGGTTAGATGATAGGCTGGATAACTAGAACATCCAAAATATGAGATGCTGTGCTAGTGATGGTTTTCTTAGTCACATGTTCTTTCCAGGCTGGAATGTATACAAAGGGCCCCCTTCAAAGCAGGAAAAACTGAAAGATTAGAAAAGTTCAGAGAACTTTCACTCTTCATAAAAATTCATTCAAACTTGTGAACTACTGGTAAAACTGAAGTCCCCTGAACTGTACTCCTTGGAATGTAGTCAACAAAGACACATCATAGTCTAAGCTTAGAAAACTCTGGAGAGATTGGTTCCAAGCTGCACAGTGAAATCACTCCATGTCAAAGCAAGAGGCTTGGCAGACTGTAAAATCCCTCCATTGAAAACAGATGCAATGAGTATACTAAGAAAGAACTTAAGTATAAGGGGACCAAGACTTGAACATTCCCCCTTCACACACAATGGGGCTTCCATCAAACCTGACTGTCTTCAAGAGGGAGCTTGATAAGTTTCTAAACTCAGTTCCTGATCAGTCTGGACTGTGACTGACACTAAATGGCCTGGCTGATCAGGCCACCAAAAGGAAGACCTGGTCTGGGGCTGCCAGAGCAGTGAAACCCCCTCCCCCGAGATTCACTCTAGGTAAACTCCAGGTAGAGTGTACCCGCAACTGTTGCTCAACCCACTTTCACTTAAAAATCTCAAAACGACACGGATCTTGTGATGCAGCATCAGATCAACTGTCTTTCATTACTGTCCCTGAAACAAGAACCTTACCATTCCATGAGTACAACACATTACATAATGAGTACTGGTAACTAAACT